GGCAGCACAGGTTCGAGCAGAGGTTGGTTGGAACGATGTGGGTCATCTAAGGATATGATGAGCAAGGCCTCTAGCACGCTGAGAAAGAGCGATTCCGGAGCTCGAGGAGGAGGGAGCACCTCCAGGCACTTATGGTCCCCAGCCTCGAAATCTGCCGATTGTACATATGTAAGCTTTGGGATTTTGCGTGTAGCGTTTTGGTTTTGCGTATACAGAGTGACAGCTTGGCTGTGGAAGATATATTGGATTAAAAGTAACAGGGGCCCGCTGGAAGAGAGTTATTTACTAGTCTCAGTGGGGTATCGATGCGATTAAACAAGGAAAATTGTGCTGTTTAAGAAGGAAATGCCATTAGCACTGCTCTGTGTAAGCAGCATGGGCAATGGTGTCCTTGAATGGTGTGTAACGGGCTAAAGCATTCTTCGAATACCGCAGGTGACATACTGACACATGCAGTGATATCTATATTGATTTGTTGCCATGGGAGTTTGCAGAATTGCAACCAGCACTCGGCCAAAGTGATGCTCGACCATGCAATTCTCACAACTGGTGGACAGCGGGTGATTCAAGGTAGGCGCTCTCAACGAGGCCGCAAATGTAGGAATCGCACATACAAGTAGAGGGGGCAATAAGCAATTACCAGATATAGTAAGTTATGTAAAAGCGTGCACTGCACAGAAAGGGTCTAGCACTGGAAACTATGAAACTGGAGGGTGTAGCAGTCAGCATTGTTGGTCATACTGCAGTTGCGAGCACGCCGGCTCAACACACGGCCATCTAAAGCAAAGGCCAATACAGCTTCAGTTGCCTCCATCAATTCACCACTCCTCTTTAGCAGGACATCCTTTAGTTTGAGAATCTTTTGATATTGCTGCACAAGCAGTAAGTTATGCGATACCGGTACTTCGAGCAACGAACTGCTTGCCTAGGGCACACTGAATGCCGTGAGATAATATGATATTGCTCGGGAGGGCTTCCAATACAGCTTGCCAGTCGGCGATTGCTATTCACGCTTGAATCCTATCCTAAACAATGCTTTGCGTTGGTGCTAAATAACGAAACCTTTTTTTCTACGAAATGCACTCAGAAAATATGCGTGAGGAACCTTCAAGTCGTATGGGAATGCACGCGCACCCACCAGCATTTCAACAATGTTTAGGCTATCCGCTTCAACCTGTACGCTTTGCACCACTGAACGAGGGTAGTGAACCCAGCTCTCGCCCTTAGAGTGCAATGCATATGCGCAGATGCGATTGTGCAAGGCAAACTGCTGGTATGTATAATGATGCGGTGCAGGTCTCTGCAAGTAAAAGCCAGTGCTCAGGAAAAGTAGCGCTAAAGCAATTACAGTCGAGTGCGTTAGACAACGCGCTTGTTCTTTCCCCCAGCAGTTCTATCAGCCTACGCTCTAGGGTGCAGCGCGCCGCGTCTACTTTACCTCCTTTACACAGTGATTCGGCCAGCAACAGTGGAATATTTTTGACGGGGCAGCATGAATCAGTACGCGGGCAGCGGGCAAATCCATCTAATAGCATACTTGAGGATGGAATACGAAGCATTAAAGTGCCTACATCAGGCCATGAGCCTCCGCAAGACAAGCACCTACTACCATCACAATTAACGGCATGTACTCAGCGTTCGATTGACCAAAACAGCGGTTCTTGTATCCCCAATCAGCGGGACCAAAGAACCAGCTGTGCAGCTGGGCGAATACCAATGGCTTCCAGCCATACTAGTGGACAGTACAACAAACTAGATGGGAGCCCAGTCAGGGGTAGATGCGCGCCTTCTCTAGCTAGCGAAAGCTTTCAGACGGCATCAGAAAAGCTATCCCAAAGCGTGTATGAATCTGTAAATGGAGTTCCTGACTCTCAGCCGGGCACATATGACCTTAGCGAAACACAGATGCAGTCCTACCGAACCGCAACCACGGAGGGTTCATTTACTTCAGTAATATCCACTGACAGCATCATTGCAGCAAGATCGCCAGCTTTTCGCCTAACGACCGAGTACTCGGCGCACGTCAGCTCATCCAGGAGGAGGAATAGCACAGGGAGTCTCAAAGCAGTCGGAGGAAGAGCAATCGATCATCCAGGATTTTTGCAACCTACAGGCCTCCAACCGGAAAAGTGGCGCGCCAGCACGGGTTCACACCTGACATGGCGTTCAAGGTTGTCACACATACAAACTGACGCAGCTGGTCGGCGACTTACTGCGCAGAAAAATATTTGGTCAGCCGTGGGTAGCTTTGAACCCCTGCGTTCATCAATCTTCCATAGGATTTTCCCAAGACTGCCTGATGAGCTTGAAAAGGTTTGCATGCAGTGCATCGGCACCCCAGATTCATCAGAGCTAAGAGCGCTGACAGATATTCAGAAAGCGGCAATGGCATTAGTTGCTAAACAATCTGTGAGAAGGAGTGCAGCGGCGAAGGACCGCCTCGTCAAGCAGTTTAAACTCATGGGACAGCCAGACGGCATTCTTGACTGCTTGGAGCAATTTCTTCTCACCTGCGTACCTATCCTCATATACTTTGACATTTCAAGCCTTACACCTCACCTAGAACATGGCGGATATTACAGGTATAGCGTCGACATCACCGGACAGTTCTACAGCTGTAGACCACAAGACTGTTTGTATAGTGCTTCCCTCTAGAGCAGAACACGAAACTCTTTCGAGCACGTATGCACCTTTTTTGCAGGTCACACTTTGAAATTCCTCAGACTGATGCAACCTACCTGCGAAAGTGTAACGAGAGAGAGCAAGCGCTTTATTCCGGTTTATATGAGCATGAGTCTGTTCGACCCGAGCATCACCCAAAATACGGGTATGTAAGTGTAAACTGCAACATCAAACCTCCCTGGGAACCGCAGAGCGGCGAAGCTTGCATGATCCTCAAAGATCACGTTCGGTAGGTTGCTCTGTGCTTCCCTAGTCCCTACACGGGACTCACTACACCGTATCTGCATCAGGCAGAAACAGAACCTCATCCATATTTTCCTAATTTAAGATAGGGACCAACTGACGTTGCTTTTTATGTCTGGGGTCAAGGTTTTTCTTTATCTACGTGCCACACTGTACGCTAGTCTAGCTGCGTCTACAGGGTTAGAACAACGATCTCAGCCTGCCACAATGACGGATCCTCCACCTCAAAGTTTGGCCGTGAGCCCCTGATCGCCACCCTCAACAACCCGTGGCATGTCCTAGAAGCCATTGGGTGCGATGAACTGGCGCGATTAGCGGTGAGTACATAGATGGGCTGCACGATATAAAGCAGTAAGTGCTGTCAGGCCGCCCCCTCTTCTCTGTGTTTTTATCATCAGTTGTGTTCCCCAGCTCTTGGCTGATCCATAACCAAGAGTCTTCCACCCAGGTCACGTTGTGTATCGTTTCTACTGCTGTACGAAACGAGCTCCAAGCTTGAACCGTTGAAATTAGAGTGGCAAAATGACTCAAGTGTCCTATCACGAAAATAGTTGAGTAGGCACACTAATTTCTTCTTGCGTGCAGGCCCTTGCCCGAAATCCCTCTTCAGATATAGCCACTGAAACATCCAGACTGATTGACTGCAACGTGCATGGCGAAATCAAACTTGGGTACATCCTTCTACCGCTGCCCTTGGGCCCTTTCCTCTAGTTCTAGCACCCACAGCAGTATTTATTGCGCTCGCGCCGTTTTTGTTCTTTGGCATCATAATACAAGAACAAGAAGTGGGCATTTAATTGGGTTGAACAATTCACTTTGCGATGCTACTTAATTTGCTAGATTGATGATGCAACACATGGATATACATGTATTCATATGAGCGTTGTGCAGCAAGGACGTGGACGCAATCGTCGTGCCCAAGAGCGCAACTCATGACAAGCCGATGCTCTCGAAACTGCGGAGCATCGCCACGCGGCACACTGTTCCGTTATTATCCATGGAAAAATGCACCAGAGCCGTGAAAAATGACAACTGGAGGCTTATTCTCCGGCACCTCCAACATGAGACTCTGGTCAAAAAGACTTCCCTAGGGAATACCTACGGCCAAATCTGAGACGCAGAAACCTTTGAATCCCCTCAGAGCATAAATGGGATCTAATACAAGCAGCCGAATGAGTGCCTGCCCTTGTCGTTTCGTGCTAGCATTTGTGCAAACGTTGCATGATTCTACTTCATCTAGTTCATTGCAGTCCGCAAGAACTGAGCTAGATGCGTTTTTACTTCCTAACTAAGCTTGCGTTCACTCTAGTAAATCGGTAGCTGCTCTGGGTGCTGACCGCGCGCCAGCAGCGCGTGCATAGTTTGCACCAGTACAAATCATTTAGCACCAGCAGCATTAGTTTGATGCAAATCTCTACAGATTCACGCAGGTAAACACAAAGCAACAATGACATATGTGTGCATGTCTCGTCTCGGTCACTGTACAGCAATGACCCTCATGTCCTGCCTGACTCTCTGACGTGACTAGAACTGTTCACATAGCTGTCAATGGATCACTCAATTTTTTCCACTAGGGTAGAAGGATGCCCCCGAATGTAAAGCTATGCAGTTGTGCCGTCTGAGGAGACGATAGCTGCTCTTATTTACATTGATCGGCGAGTACGGCGTTCCCAAAGTCTGCACCCCACTTACAGCTATAGCCCCTCGCAGGCATAATGTGGTCATGATCCACAGCTTCATTAAGTTAAAACAACACGCTTGTCTAGAGTAGCGCGTGCAGTGCCAGCATATCACTCCTGCTCCATCCACTGCAGATACTCTTCCAGGTGAGACCGTATGACGCTGTGAGGTCCGCAAGAATTTCGCGTGCCTTTCAGTGCCCTTTTCACGAGTTGCTTGGCTTGCTCATGGTTGCCGGACCGAGCATACAGCAGGGCAGCCTTATACATGTGAGCTGCTACCTCCGGCTGTGCAAAACCAAGAGGCAGCCTTTGAACTAATACGTGTACACCGGCAGAGAGGCACGTTGCCGCTAGTCCAACTGCCCCAATGACTCCAAGCTCCCATGCGCGCATCTGCAGCTGCCGCGCAGCATCCGCTTGTGCGTGAGCTGCACGGGCTACGGCTTGTAGTGCCAGCCATGTATCTGTGGAAAGACAACCACTAGCTGCCACCACATGAGGAATTGCTTGCACGAGTTCCGTCGAGACATTACCTAGTAAGGCATGCCTCTCCATTTCCCGACCTCGCTCCGCAGGCCGCACAAGACACGCAAGCGTCGTCCTCAGGTCATTCAGCCGCAGATGAGCAGCTTCTCGCTCCTCTGCCATGGCGGAAGCTGAAAAGACTGTCTTACAATTGAGACACTGTAACTCACTGCAGGCATATAGCGGCCGGTGACAATTCAGAAATGAAGGGAGAGCAGCAGATTGAACAGCAGAGCGACGATCCTCAGAAGAAATCGCAGACCACAATTGTACGCAAGAATGACCTAGAAGGGCCAAGGACCGTGTATGTGTCCACTGGTGCCGCGCCTCCCCGATCACTAGCTCTTCGAAAAGCATGTTGGAGAACGCTTCCGTAACAAACCCCAGTGTCGCTGTCGACAGCTCTGAGTATACTGAGGGCTCCTCCAGGTGCTGCTGCTGCTGCTGCTGCCGTCGCCGACCCTTCAGAGCACGCAATTCGCCTATTTGTGGCCCTACATAACGCTTAAACGCCGCGACCATGCCGTACAGGGGATCGTTGTCGGGTGTATAAGCACTTGTAGCCTCAGGGGCCTCCTTTAAGAGCTTCTGCACTAGTGGAGCCGTGGTACATACAGGACATGGTGTGCCACACAGCAGTCCCTTCTCGAAGTGGATAACTCCGGAGTGGTCAGCGCTGGTGTGTCCACGCGGGGGAGCGCAAGCCTGTGCAACACCCCGCAAAACAAATGCTCAAACATGTAGCTTCTGCAAAGGAACTTGCTAACAAAATAGCATCATGGGGTGAAGGGGCACTCGCCCTTTGCGGCACGCAGCGTGAAATCACGAGGGTACTAAGGTGCTGCCACGCTGCTGTGTAGACGCACCTCGCAACGGCAGTAGAACCCTGCATGCCGTAGGAGCCACTCTTGCCGAAATCCCCACGCACCACTCTCCAATCCGACTAAGGGGCCGTATGAAATGCTGATCTCCCCGTTGAATTTCTTTGCCGTAAAGGCCTCAGGCAAGCACAAGCGGACTTGCAGCAGCGTGCCGCGTCCCAACCCACTGCAAGCCCCTGCAAGGAGCCAATCGTTCCTGTTGATCTCGAGGCAGCATGTGTCGGCCTGTTGCTCGCGCCGCTGATGCCGCTTCCAACTACGAGGCTCTCCAAAGACAGCAACTGCATTCGGCGAGCACGAGTGATTGAGCAAAGATGCCGTTAGGAATAGCGCAGTGCCAGCAGCAACTGCTTCTTCTTCTGGGTCACAAGCAACACGCATTGTGAAGCTATTGCAGCAGGCTACGCCATATGCGTGGAGTGCTGCCGTGTAAAGGCACCTTGGCAGCGCGGCAAGGCGGTCCTCCGAGTTGCGTGTGCCCTCAAAGACCGAGGAGCGAGGGGAGCATGTACAGCACCAGGCTTTGCAGCACATGCAGCAGCGTGTACACAGCCGATCGCCAGCCGGCTTGCTCGGAGAGTCAGCCAGTGCTTCTGCCTCGGCTGTTTCCTGCGTTACCATTGTCGGGGCCGTTTCAGCCCATTGACGAAGCGGCAGACAGAGATTCCTCCCATCCGGAGGGTTGCAAAGAAGGCATCGCCCGCCGCACTGCATGCCTTTGCCGGCAGCAGCGGCATCTCCAGCCAACCATGCGGCATTCAAAAGCCAATCTGCCAGTCTCGGAACCTCCAATAGGACGCAGGCATTGCTTCTGAGCAGTTGATACCATGGCGGGGCCTGTTCCTGCAGAGAGCTTTGCCCTGAAGCTGCACCTACACTCCCTGTACCAACAGGAGCCTCCGTTGTGGTCGCCTGGACGCCTCTCTGTGCGGGACCCTCAGGAACCGCCCTTTGCGTCAAGAGACATGATAAAAGCTGCCGCGCAATGTGTCTGTGAGGATCGGGCAAGGCCAGCGCTAGGGGCTGCACCAACACGCCTTCCGGCAAACGCTTCGCGGATTCTGCCTCCACTTTGCTTGCTTGCTTGGTGCTTTGCCCCTGCGGCTGTTGCATGCAACAGACGCGTTTGTGAGCCGATGCCGCTCTGCAGCGGTTACAGCAAAAGAAGGCCCCCGCACACGAGCCACAGGGCACCACTGGAAAGACCGGCCTCAGGAGGCGGTGTAGTGCACTTCGCTCTGAATCAACTCCGGAGCACGACACACCCCCAGCCTCCCCTCGCGCCGGCACAGTGGCACATCCAGCGCAGACACTCTCTGCTTCACAAAAAGCCTCCAGCATGCCCCCAGATCCATCCTCTCCTTGCACAGCAGTAAAAGGGCCCTCTGAGGGGCTACCTGAAACGTGTGGGGCACCTCTGCAACTCTCCAGCCGGTCCTCCCAGGTGCTGTGGACGGCCGTGCCAGAATGTGTCTGCACTGCGTTTGGCCCACAATTGTCGACAGAACGCGCTGAATATGAGAGGGAGGCAATCGGAATACGAGGTATTTTCGCGCAGTGCTTCGGGTGTACGTATACCGCAAATGCATCCTCTTCCAACACAAGATCCTCGTCCTCCTCACGATTCTCCTCTTGTAACTCTCCGGTCATCAAGCCTCGGCCTTTCCCGTTGAGCTGTACCGACACATCCTCCCTTAGCCAGAGCCGCGGCAAAGTAGCCTCGGTTCCCAGCTCTCCTGTATTGATGCAGCCGCTCCAGTCTTCTCTACCAAACTCACAACCGCAGGTGCCCACAGTCATGCAATCTGCTGCACCTTTTGCCTCAGAAAAAGAGACGTTCCCCCTCGACATCCTCTGGGCCATGCTCAGCTCTGAATCAATCCTCTGTAAACACATACGCGTGGCATTGCAGCAGGAGGTGCCGCTGCACTGCCTGACGCGGCAGGGGGAGCGAATTCGCTGTTCTACCGCTTCGCGCAAACGCTCCAAAGCTACAGCTCGGCGATACCAGGCCTTACAATAGAGAGGGTCCACAGCAGCGGCTTCTGTTGCAGCCCTCAGAGCTTCTGGATTGCGCCCAAGACGTAGCAAAGCAAGGCTCCTATTGGCCTGCAGTACAGCCAGTGGGTTGTTGTTGCTGCTGCTGCCATCACCGCCGCTTCTGCTGTTTCTGCTGTCGTCCACAGAGCTATCTGGAATAAGTGTGATCGCGGCAGTGTAGAGGCTTTCTGCAGCCGCAGTGCGCCCTCTTGACAAGGCGGAGTTCCCCCAGAGCTTGAGGCTGTCGCTTCTTTGCTTGTCCGGCTGCAGCTGCCACGCATCCACTGTTAAGGCACCATCTGGCGTTTTAGTGGGCGCTAAATTGGTGTTGATGCGCCTACTTAGCCACGCACGAGAGCTGCACTCCTCCCACAGGGCACGGAGGAGAGGCTGCACCGTGGGAATGAAGACAGCGGATGACAGGGAGGCGCTGTCGATAGCACAGGCTGCGAGGCTGCCGACTGGCTTCACTGCAGAGTCTGTGGTAACGGAAAAGGAGCTGCTGGTGCTGGTGAGGGATTTGCAGCCGCTACGGCATGCGCTGGCTGGGCCCGTATCGGCCAAATTTTTGAAGAACGGTGCTTCTGGGGGGACAAGGCGGTGGGAAAGCGATATGATGCGGCTTGAGACATCCTGTATATTGTTGTGATACTTGCAGCTTGTGTTGGTGCCGTCACTGATTTCCATGCACGATATGTTTTTGCTAGTACAGCTGGCTGTGTAGCACGGAATTTCGCCGTAGCGAGGGCTACCGATTATGCAGCTCTCCTTCCGTCGCGTATCATCATCTCTAGGAGTGAGGACAGCATGCAAATGGTGGAGCGCGAGAGAACCGCTCTGCTGCAACTCTTGAAACAAAAGACTGGTGGCCATTTCCCTTCTGTTCGATACGGCTGCCTAATCCGCATACGTACACGTACCCATACGGGTCAAGATAGAACACTGGAAGTGGTCCCCAGGCAAGCCAGTTCGTGTCTTTGTTGCGCTGAAAAATCGATACGGCCTCTTGGCCGACCGTGGTTGTTATCTCCCTTCATTGGAGCGGTAGGGATTATATCGAAACGACTGTCACACCCCTCTGTGTGCTGCCTTTCTCCTAGTATTAGACAGAAAACCGATATATTACAAGTATGCTACATTATGGCCTCCCTTTTTGGCTCCAGTTATGTTGATTCACCAGATTCGTGTGGTGCATGCGTTTGGGTCTTTGCGAACTCGGGACTCCTGGTGGGTTTCATTCTTTGAGAAGTTGTGTTTAGCATTTCAAAGAAGTTAATCATAAGGGGATCATCAAACCCTGCCTAATTCGTGTAGGCGGCGCTTCAGCCTATTCTTCATAATTCCCCGGCATCTTTCCGGACAGCATCTCTATTTGTGCATCCTCGGTGCTACAGTGTCTCTGGCTTCAACTTGGGTTTCCCCACGTTTTCTGGGTCCTAATTCAAGGGCCTCAAGATGGCGTCCAGACCCTCCGATATGCCGGTATATTGAGCATCACGCATTGGAGACTCTTCTCTGAGTACCTCACGAGCGTAGTAACCCCCCAACACAGATAATCGTGGAGCTTAATTCTCGAACAATGTTTCTCCAGAAAATTGAACCGATTTGCGCTATTTTTTGGCGCTGCTCACTATTTCATAGCCTTCCACTACTTCACTACTCTGTTGTCAGCCTCTTCAAAGATACATGGTTTCGCGTATCTATGCCGGGTTTTTCGACCTTTCCCACGCTTTCGACTTCGCTGAAACGAGAGAGGCATTTGCTTTTTCTCCTGCGCAGGTCATACGGCTGGAGGACTTGGTGGTACCTGCGAAAGACGGCGAGCATAGAAGTATTCCTGGAGCAAAGTTTATTGTACGCGATTTCCTACCGAGACTGCTTGAAACGCCACTTTGGGACCTGCGGGTTCAACTTGGATTCCACATCCCCATTATATTTAGAGCCCTAGACGAGTACTGGGGAGGGGGCGATGCGTTCGCGATAAAGAGACAACCAAGATGCATTACAGTGCAGCGTTTTGTGCCGTCGCCATTCTGCGCCCCTCTCACGCGGCCTTTCCCCATGCCTGGAGGTTTAAAGGTACCCTGCCCAAGGCAGTATTAGCAAGGCGATAGTCGGTTTGCTATGTGCTCAGCTTTTTCAATGCATCCGCAGGAAAAAGTCGAGACCTTCGTGGGAGCATGCAATCCGATGGCCGTGGAGTGTCTCTTCAAGGAGCTTCTCCAGTACTTCTGTCCTCCCTTTAGCTCCATCCCGTTTTCCCAGCATTTTTCGCGTTTCTTATTTCTGGCCATCAGTAACATAGAAGCACTGCTCTGCTTTGTCCTCACCCAGCTGCTGCCCTACATCGCGCTCTGCACCTACTGAAACCTCCTTAAACGACCCTGCTTGCATGCATGTGCTTTGGGGCTTGCCTGCTTTAGGAAATACCGGTTTATGGAGCGTTCGCTCCTGGGGCAGAAGGACACTCTGCGGGCCAAGACCATTGCCATTAAAGAGACTATGGATGCTATCAAAATGTTGCAGACACACAGGGTAGGCTAGGAATCCTAAAACTTTGAGGTCTCCTGTGCAGCGGATGGGCCACATCACAAGAGAAGAGAGGCGGCAGTACGATAAAACCGACAGCTGGGAAGGAGAATCGGGGACGATTGTCGTTTTTTGCATTCAACGCGGCATGTATGTAGGACAAAGCGAGAGAGGGTGGCGATGGCGAGCTGAAGACGCATCTGCAGCTCGCAGAAACGATCCACGTTGAGGCCACTGTGCCCCCAACAGACACAGTCTGTCTGTGGCTAGCTGTAAGGGCAAATACTTGCTGCATGAGGATCCTAAGTAGCTGTAACAATTAGGCTAGCGCTGCTGACCTGCAACTGCACTGCGCTTCGAGTTAGGGTGATTATGCTTGATACAGAGTTTCCAAAGTTACGAGTGGTCAACGAAATTCCCACTGCTTGGCATCTCCCCCGCAACAAGAGGCTTTCTCTCCGCTGGTCAAATGTCGTGATATTCACAGGCCGATGTTGTTGTTGAGTACACTCTCGAGGAAGCAGAAGAAGTACTAAGCCGGAGCTTAAAATTTGCCACCAAGTACATCGAGGAGGCGGTATGCTCACTTCCAAGCACTTTATGTCCCCTTTTTCAGTATCCCATACGTCCTTCGGCTTTTACTAGTTTTGACGGTTTTACTTTGTTTGCCACACAATCAGGCATTTTGATTCTTTGTTGCCATTTAAACCCGATGCATGCAATAACGTATCCGTTGGCGTTCCCATGAAGTGAATGCACTTGCAAAGGGGGTGCGCGCATATTCTGCACAGTGGATGGTCTGGTTTGAATATGCGCATATATGAAAGCAAACCAAGAAGCACAAAAAGGGCTAGCGGAAGATAGGACGATTATCTTCCACCATTGCACGCCATCCGTGGCTCGCTGTTTCTTGCGGTGTTAGGAGACGGACATGGAGTGGCTTCGAACTCAGATAACGATGACGGAAGTGAACATCGCACGAGTGCACAATTTCGCAGTCCTGAAGAGGGATCAGGAAAGGGCTGCTGCCTGTCCAGGTAAGAAGGCACAGCGAAACCGAAAAAGGGTTGTATCGTCGAGCAGCACAAGTAACAGGTGATGCATTCAAGAGTGGAACTGATAAATGTGAATACATGGATGGCTTAAGAGGACAGGCGAACCACCAAATCATAAGACGAGGACATTTTCGATTCCGTCTCGACTATGACGGCACTCAGCAGACACCTTCACGCTATCCATGTAGTAGCCTTGAGTGTAGGTATTTTGCTTGTGTGCCTAAAGGTGTCGGTTTTAGAAGAAATGGGTCACAGGCAGCGAGAAAGGCAACAACGGTCGTTTTTGCTTATTTGCAGTGCTTGCTGCTCGCTGCGTTTCTTGCTTCTCAGCCCAAGTCCCGCCCCAAAAAGCGGCAGCCTAAATGGCTGCTCGGTTTGATGAGCTGCATTGTCTACGAAAACGCAGCTTGGCGTAGAGGGGGAGTTCCTTTCACTCCGCCTGTGCTGTGTTCTCTCTATCTCCGTGTAGACTTGACTTACTTTCAAAGTATGAGGCCACTGCAGTCAGTCTTCACCCCTCGCAGACAATTCAGCAGTATACTACTGACCTCAACCCGGCGGGTAGCGGGCGAATGGGGAGAGAATGCGAAAAAATGCATATCGGACTCGCAATTAGTATCCACACAGAAGCCACTGCCCTTTCAACGGAAACAGCTCGCTTCGCCAGCGGGGACACCAAAATAATAGTTAACCAAGCTGGCCAGCCTAACTAGCTAGCGTAGAGGTAGCTCAATGTAGGCAGCCATCGGCTGTTCTATGCTCTCTTCCAACGCTTCAAATTTTCCGGGGCGGCTTAAGCTTTACTGTTCGCTTTCCACCACGTGGGACACGGCGGGTACACCCACTCCGGAGAGATGTGGCAAAGGACTGGGGTTTGTATAAATGATATATATCCATGTGCAAACACCCGTAGACACGATGCGCATCATGCGAACTCGACGGTCGTCTCAAAATACATGTCACACATAAATGCATATAGGTACATCTGCTAAATATTCATGGACCCTATATATCTGAAGGACACGATGTAGTCCATAGATATCAGGAATGGCGGTCAGGAATCTTCACTCCCTTGCTTCTGTTGGGAGATGATGCTGTCGGACGATGAGCACTTTCGAGTCGTGACAGTGTCTACTGTAAAGCGGGGACTCCATTGACTGGCAACCCCATCTTGTGCTCCCACCCAGTCAAATGGTTGAAGAGTCGCTGTGAACAGCACACGAAGATACATCCAAGGTCGCAGACGCCAGTGCGTAGCAAAACCATGATGGTCCACGCTCCAACCCTTAGTCTCGTGTGTGTTATTTTCACTAAGCTTGTGCGAGAGGAAAACTCAGTGGTATGGAGAGCCTGACGAATCGTCACACCGTCTGAAGCGGTGTAAACGAGCTGTGAAATCTTACGTGCAATCCCATTATCAATACGCTCACAAAAGCCATTTTTGTTAGAGAAGACGATGAATTAAACATAAATACTACAGGAAAGTAAGCATCGAATCGCTGGGCAAGCAAGCACCATGACAGCTTACGCATCATGTCCTGTCCAGATGCGTCAGACGCATTGGGTAGCTGTTGTTGCGAGTTGTGCAGCCTCCTACCTCTCAGACAGTCTCCTGATGCTTCTGAGTCCGGCTTGCCACTGGTGAAGGCCATGGCGGGGCCTGCGATGTTCCGCACAGCGTGTAGAGTGTAAGTACGCGATTGAGTCATTTTGCTCGTTGTGGGGAGAGAGACCACAGCACCCTCTACAGCCAGGGAATTCCACTTTTCCATGTTGGAGTTCAGCATTGACATCACTTCGTCTCTGTAACAAGCACACAGTGAAAGGGAGAAAATAAAGAGAAGGTTCAGCATAACATTTGTACAAACGGAACGAAAACAAAAGTGCCAATGAGAGCTGAGACTAAAACCCTCTGAGCTTTTTGATGATAGACACTGGACACAGCCACGCAGGTTGTGAATTTAACGATGAGATTCAAACTGGAAGAAAAGAAAGATTCAACTCCAGAGAATGAAGCCAAGTGGGCCAGTTGGTCGCTGGGATACCACAGGGTGCACGAATACACAGATCCTAAATGCAAAATAGGAATAAAGAATGGGACAGTGAAAAGAAAGACAAATGGAAAGGAATGAGGATGGCTCACGCAATGTGATGATGTGTCTCTAGCTCAACTAGTTCAGTTAAAAGGGGCTTGGCAATGAACGCCAAGAAGCTTTCTTGAGATCTTGCAAAGTCTAAATGTGCGGAGCGATTGCACAAAGGAGATACGGGAAGTCCCCTTCGCAGCTCCTGATGAACAGGCAGGTGTACATTTATGTGGTCAATAGAATAAAGCATGCACAAAAATTGGTTAATTATCATCGGCAAACAGGTCCCCAAGTGTCTATTTGCTGCAGCTGCAGTCCCTGCCACCTTCTGTCCCATTTTTCGACTTGTCTATATCTAAAACTGAAACGCTAAAGCGGAAAACATCATTTCCGTGTTAACCACCTACTTCATCTCCTTGTTGATAAAATTCTTCAGTGATTGCACACGACATGTCGAAGTGCTCGTTCCAGGGGATAGCCGTGTGCGAGATGTCCCCCATCTTCATGCATATCTTTAGGGCTGCCCATCTGTCTTCTACTGAAGCCTTCATGGAAAACTCCTCATTCAGACGCCTGACACGGAACTTGGAGATAGCCTCAAAATGCTGTTTCATGTCTGTGCTCAGGATGGTCTCTATTATCTTGGCACGCACAAAACGGAAAGCGCTTGATGACAACAAGAAGAACAAATTGCAACTCTTTCTGAGCACAGAAGGCACAAGCACGACCCCGCATAAAGAGGAGATACAAATACTCGCCAACTGGCAATGCAAGAACACCCCAAGCATATGTGACACGAATCACATACATGCACGCTACAAGAAATCTGTTATTGCTATGTGTGCGTATCCGTTAGATGTTTCCACTTGAAGAAAAGTTTATTGTGGGAGCTCGTACAGCAATCAGACGCATGCAGGTCCTCTGACCATGTACAAACTAAGGAAAATACATTGAGAGAAAAACGGGTAAGGAACAGGTTAGAAACACACACGGTAGGAAAACGAAGAGACAAGCTCCTGCTTCGCGGTTAAAGGTCTGCGTACCTCTCTAGAATTCGAAAACACAAACAGGAGTGGAAGTTTTCGAGAGGAGCATGATCATTGTAAATGATGGCCTGTATGTTCGCAGGGGAAGGGACGGTTGGAAGAAATAAATCAAACTAGCTCTATTCTTACAGCGTGAACGCACGGGCCAAGGGTGTAGAGTGTCTTACCAAGGGATCAAAACACGTAACAAAGAATTGATTGGTACGGCCAGGATGGCCTACGTCATGAGCAAGGGTGGCAGCAATTAACGCTGCTTTCTCTAATGGATCCATTCTGCACACAGTGCACGAGAAAAGTACAAAGGAAAATGATCAGAATAATTCAACATTCTTGAAATTAAGGGAGATACCTCACGAAAGAAGGAAGCTCACGAAAAACATGGAGGTTAATACAAAAATAAAGCAACTGGGAAAACCCCAAAAGAGCAGATACTACAACAAACGTGAAATTCAGCGACAGAAAACAAAAGAGCAGCAATAAACAAGTGGAACCCACGACATACACGTGGTCTGACGATTATGTATTTGGGTGTACTGTTGTTTTCTTAGGCAGCCATATATATACCACGCTCGATAATCCACATTAAACGCAAGGGCGAACATTTTTGCCATAGCTTACAGGAGCCAAATGCCGAGTAGATTTGCCAGGCAAACTGTCGCGTGGCCAACCTACAAAAAGTAGACAATCAGGTATGTTCAACAGCAAAAAGGTGGCCAAATTAGTTAAAAGCCAATAAGAATAGCAGGGAAGGCAATATCATCTATGAGAACATGCAGAGCGCAAAATTCGTTGCTGAAAAATAAACGAAACCAATCCACCGTTCGCCTCCATCGGTCGATTCTTATTTCATAGTTAAGGTAAAAGAATGCACCGGCACCGAAGAGCACTATGTTCGCATACATTCCCTCTGCCCCATTTTCGTTCCTCCTGAATTCCATCAGTGTTGCCCACATGTCTAAGTTCAACTGGAAATTTTTGCTTAGCCCGCATACATACTAATCCACTGGCGATCCATCATCACACGATCCCATAACTTAATTTGGAACAAGATACCCAAATCAATCTCCTCTTTGCCTTCCTAACTAAGAATTTTAGCTTCATTATATGTGTGCACCAATGAGCTTCGAACCCTTTTGTTTCATGAGTTAGCAAACATCTTCGTATTCGTCGGCACGCTGAATGTTCTCTGGGTACAACCATTGAATCTACTCACTCAGCTTACCCCATTTATTTGATCGGATCGCGCGCTCATTTTTATGTACCAAATGTTAGTGACGCCGTTCTTAGTTGCTGCTTACCATGGCTGCATGCGTTTGGTTGTGATATGGGTTTCGTTGGTACTGGGACTGCAGCGTCCAGAGGAATTCGCAAAGCTCATCAGTGCCGCATCCCCAGTCACATACAACGGGGCGCAGTAGCGCCGCCCCAACCAGTAAAAGAGATCTTCCCTGAGTCTCCTGGTCCAGCTACGCAAGCAGAGAAAACAAGCAGACGCAAAAAACAATGTGAAGGAATTACCATAGACAGATGGCTATGGAACAGAGACTACGCATATTAGCGAAAGCCTCACAGCACGGAACTAAAGATTCTGTGAAGAAGACTAAAACAAGATATTAACATTTAAATGGAGAGAAAACTCGTCCTATAATGGACAGCAGCTGCTGACAAGGCGGAGGGTCATACTGGAAGCAAGGCACGCACTACCAGCATGACTCACGCGGCTGCCTTCGTGCTCTCCTACCCATGAAAGCATAATGCAGCTGGGTACAATTTTAGGGCATGCCATCAAAGTAAAGGAAGGGCAATAACTGGAATCGAGATAATCGAAACAACGAAGGACGGACGAGACAGGCTCACCTGTAGAACACTAAACGACCAGCAATGACCGATTGTATGCGAAGAGCGCTCTGCCTCCTCAAGAAGCTGACAATGCCACATTGAGAGAAAATAGACAAGCACTGCGAGTACAAAAAGTATAAAATGGGCAGCTATCAGAGCAAACGAAATGCACCCATAGCTCGCAAAGAGTGCATGTTTTCCAACTTCACACAGTAGCACGTTAATGCACGTTAAAGTTCAAAGCCTCCGGAGAAAAGGTGTAGTACCATCCGACGCCGTATCGTTTCCTGCTTGTTGAGCGGTTCGCCTCCCTCCGCAGCGATGGTACTTGAACTGTGGGGCTCTGCGGACAAGCCGGCTCCTGAGCATAAAATTCAAGGGACATGCTGCCAGCACTGAATCAAATATCAAAGATTTTTTTGGAGAACCGTCTGCAAAAAGCAGAAGCAGCTAAACAATGAAATTTCTTAGGGTGGATTGGCGAAAGTAAGGATGAGGTAAGGAAAAGCAACAAGCAGGGAAACTGTGGTTTATACAGTCTGCCATTATGGGACCAGATGGGTGATGCCTCAACAGGAACCATTACTGAGAAATGCATATATTACTTAGAATTTATTAAAAGGAGTAAAGGCGTAGTCAAACAAAGTGAGCTTGGTTACCCGAACAACTGAACATATCTATAGCGTTCAAGGGGCTTCCCGTCTGGACAGCGGCGAGCGAGTGCTGGTTTGACCAGCTGCGAAGATCCTCAATTTTGCGGGTACTATAACGCGAGTGAAGCTGGAGATAATGCTGGCTAAAGCACTGTTCAAATACACATTGGCAAAAACGACAAGAACTCGTTTGATAGTGCGGGAACGAAAGAAGTTTGATCATGCGCGGGTATTAGGATAAAAGAGCTTAACACTGAGAAGAATGCTGCCATAATGTACCATCTAGCCTGCCTAGCTACGATATAATAATCAGCAGTTGAAAGAAGAGCACTTTGAAAGCACCTGTCACTTAGGAACAGGTAGAAGGTGGATAAAGTGTTTAGGAAAAGGAGTAAGCACAAAGGAACCTGACAACCCTACATCCGTATTGCCGATGTCGATAGTATACAAGTCTTCACTAGTGAGGAGCGTCCGCCTGCAGCTGCGAAAAAAATAGTAGCACAGATAGTAAAGATCGCCCCACAAAAGGTGTAGAGGTAATGAGCTTCTGCATGACCGAAATGTTGGAGCCTTTGAGAATTGTAGTTACAGATCTTCCCCAATGGATGAAATTTTACACGCAACAGTTCGCTCATAATTCAACTGCAACCGTTTAAAACATGCCGACCCACTCGGACACAATGCGGTAGAGCTCGTCGAATTCTTTGCCAAAGTCAACTTTTATGTTCCGCAGATGCCTCAGAATCTTCCCGCACTGCACACCGACCGCAACATGAATTTTTTTGCCATTGCGCACTCATCAAGGAAGATAATGCAACTACCTGAGAAGTATTAGGCAAAGTATTCTGGAAAGTACCAAGCCAAAGGGCTGAGCACTAGAGCTGACTTTATATATGGACACCTGTGATGTCTCATATGTTAATACTACCTAAGGTTAGATCTTTTTGTACCGCATCCTCTCTCAAATCCTATTCAATTATTATGCGTCCTAAATTCCTGGAAGTAAACGGTTGATGTATCATAATCCACAGAAAAAAGGATGCCACCAGTTCACCTGGTCGAGCTCTCCGACAACATTTTCCATGGCGGTCCTATTCGTGGTTGTTGCCTGCTCCTCATTCAACAGCTCCACCAGCCGCAGCCTCGACCTCTGCAGGTAAGAAAAACGGCAGCAACAGCGAAAAGGAGGAGACACCAAAACTGCAGTAACCACGACGCTTCTGAAGAATTTGGCTGTATATATAAGAAAAGCACATCAACTAAAAAGGTATTGCCTTTGGCAGCGCTGAAGAAGGGCTATACACTCGTAGATAGCCGAAATAGAGAGATCTAAAACGGGCCCTGCTAGTGGCCATAACTAAGAGGTCAATTCACTGACCCTCCATTGCAAGAAGAGGAGCCTGTGCTGAAGCTCGCCAGACATCCTCCCAGCGAACGCCATGCAGCTTAAAATGATCGATATTGAAGCAACGGTCAGCCTGAATGCACAAGCAGCACCCGCATGAACACAAAAGGAAGCCGTGCAACCAGAGAGGCCCTTAAAATAACCCCACAGGAAGCAAAAGCAGGAAACACAAGAAAGCCCATAAGCCGCCTCCTGAAAACGCTAGTGAGAGCGCTCAAACTGTGCAGGGAAGCTGTATTGACGTGCGCATTCTCCTTCATCCTGCCTTCAGGTGGAAGCAAAACTTCGGTTTGCCCAGCATGAAGAGTGAGGATGAATGAGCATGTGTGTGCATGCACAGCTTTCTTGCTTACAACGTGCAAAGGCTAAAGAGACTGCCGTTTGCGAATCCAACAATGAACGGTGCAGTGAGCCCTGCTGAGGTGAAGGCGTGGAGGAGCAGAGTCCATTTCGTGAGAATAGGCCCTATAATATCGAGAAAGAGAAGATTCGATGCAAATGCATACACGTAGAGTAGAGATATCTCCGTGTTAAAGCTGAAAAGGTGTGGCACGGCGATCGAGAGATCGATATGCTTCCCATGGAAAGCCAGAGACTCCTCCAGATCGTTGCTCATCTTCACCTGGCCCCCAACCAGAGAGCCGCTTAACGCCACAGAGTACTGAAGACCCACAAACGCCAGGAAATCAATGCCGAAAGAACAAACAATTGACTTGGGTCTTGTTGCATGCATGTGCTGGTACCTTCAGCAGTGCATATAAACCTGTGCCGAGTACATCGGGAGGTGCTACACCCGCATGAGAAGCAGCAGGTAAAGCCACTGTGCAACTAGAAGCAATGAGTGAGCCCTTTTCCGCCCAGTACGTTTGTTTTCTTATGCGCTTTGGGAGAATGCACGCAAAGTAAGCCCATACAGTGCGTGCGTGGATACGTAGATAAATATACTTTTTCCGATGAGAGATTGGCTGCCCTCTCAATGAGTTAGTAGCGGCGGGCTCTGCTTACCGCGAATGAGTACACACATGCGAGTTGCCCTGAGTAGCGTCTGCAAATGTATCCGACTTCCCAAGGAAAAAGGCGGGGGTAAAGGAGGGCCAGGGAGAGAGACAGGCCGAAGATCGCAACGGCAACATACGCGAAGACGAGGGGTCGCATGAAACATCTGCTTGACATCGAGCCAAGGTGAGAATGCGGGTCGGAGAAGAAAAATAGCAACTGGATGGGGAATAACACACAGTGCTGCAGCAGCAAAAACATTGATACCCGTAAGGCGCACTGATAGTTCGTCACCGCGACATACTCGCGCTCCGCATCTTCGTCTCTGAATTGCAAAGGGAAGTACTTCAGACCGGGAGATGCTTTCTTGTGAGCATCCGAGAGTTGACTGGACCAGTGATCGTCTCCATTATCACTGGAAGAAGACAAAGAACCCTTTGAATCGTCGTTCCCTGCATCGTTCGGCGTACAGCTACGGTGGTGAGCGGCTGTAGCTTCTTTGTAGGCCCATGCAAAATTGAGCTCCCCTCCACCCAGTTCTCTGAAGGGGGAGAGGAGAAAAGACAGCATCCTGCGGGAAAGTGGACTTTGACTAGTAGCGGCATGATGAGCTACAGTATCACCCTCCTCGCGTCCGTTCCGCGGTGAACCTGTATCCGTATGTCTGTATCGGCTTCCGTGGCGCTCTTGAGGAACAGGGACCGATGTCGAGCTGCATACGTCTCCTTCCTCCGTGCATCCGCTGAGCTGCCTTAATTTTGGGCCTGATCCCTCCGTTCCTCTGCCAAGACCGGTATTCCCAGATCTGCAAACCCAGCTATTCGCTCCATTCGGGTAGCCATCTGAACGAAGAGTGGTAATGACTGAGAAGGATGGCCCATGTGAGGTGCCAGACACTGGGCTCGCGTCGGGCTGAAAGGAAACGGTCTTGTGCATCCTGAAAGGGGTGAGTTCAGATGCGTGCCGGGTGTCATCTCTGCTACTTCTCCAGCCTCCTCTTGGAAGAGGTGTCAACACACTGGATCCGCTGTCAGCTCCAAGTCCACGCCCCTCTTCTCTACTTCCGTGATTGCATGCTGCGGGAGGTTGCACAGGGGATGCGTCCGCATCCTGGTCATCACTGGGTGATTGTAAAGAGACAGACGCTAATGGGTCCATTTCTTTGCCAAGCGGTATCCGTGAGGCTTCTTTGGGGCACTTGTGGCAGTTTCATGGCACCGCCCCGGGGGCTTAGTGCTTTCGAGAGGAAGCACTCAGCGCTTTCTTACAGTGCTTGATAGACGAAATAATGCTTTTCCCTCTTTGAAAGAAAAAAGTTGGAGCTCATCGGGAGGGGCTCCCGGGAGAGTGGCGGAGGGAGCACACACAGCAGCACTGCAGAAAACCAGGGAAAGGTGGGCAGATAAGCACAAGAAGCAGGGGGACAGAAAGGAAAAGGAACTAGTAGAGATAGAAGGAAAAGCGAGTCGTGCAAGATGGCTGGGTGGGTGCACAGCCTTTGCCGAAAGGATGTTATAGATGGTATGGCAGAATGAAGGCGGTGAAGTAGCAAATTCTGCAAAATACAAGCTTAGACCTGACTCTGTCTGAGCCTATTTTAACGGGGGTACTGGTGCAACGATATGGGCAGAAGTATACAAGGGCCTGCTCCAGCGGTCCTGTGACATTTCTGGAGGGGATTGAGTGGCACAAGGAGAATGTAAAAAAAAGGAGCGGCATCTGTGGCTGAAGGGCATCAAATCCCTTTCTTAGGATCTAAAAGTAGAAATCGATCCCCAGAAGTTAAAGAGAAGGCAAAGTGGTGCAACCATGCGCATGCGCCAGTGGTTCACTCGCTGCGCACGGGTGCAGCGCCATCAGGTGACTTGATGCCTTGAGCCTTAACGAGTTTTGGTGTCCCCTTTTCATCCGCCAAGGACAGTAAGGGATATTAGTCCCAAATACTCTCATGTGACGTAACCATTTGAGGTAATGGAACCCGGTGCCGGAGGGAACATTGCCGCTTTTGACCTGCTTAGGGATGGAGGGGAGCAACGGGCCCAGCACAGGATCTTGCAAGCAGAATAAGGATTAAAAGGTACAAACAAGCAGCGGTTTCTTCCCTCACACTTGCATCCTTCTCTTGAAAAAGCAAAATACGGAAAAGGGAATATTGCTCTTATGTCCTTCCATCTTGATAAATTTAATGAGAATTCCACAGCAAGCGAGCAGCTCTTCCTATCCACAGTGCTCATACTGAAATCTGCGCTCCCTCAGGGATCCTCACCTTCATGCCCGAATCATTTTTACTCTTACTTGACGCATGCAAGCAGTATGCTTGGATCCTTTTCCCCGAGGCCGATCTTCAATATGACATCGACGGCGGCAATAAAACAGAAGCGTGACGGCTCTGTGTCTCAACCTGCGCATACCCTCCAACCTGGCTTTAACTCCGGAGCCACCACCTATATTATATATCATAAAAAGCATATTTAGCTATTGCGTAGAAACAGGCAACTGGACATCGTAGTTACCCTTAACTTTGGTGCTGTAATGCTTTGACGACTGCGAATATATCTGCAGATGAAGCTAAACGAAAGTAGAGAAATGGGCAAAGGACCTAAAAGACACAGTGCAAAGCCCCATGGGCGTTGAACGCATATGAAAACACAGCAAGGGAAGGAACATGCATACCCATAACAAAAAAGGCAGTGCAACGACACAGAGGGAGGTCGATGGCCAAACAGACGAAAATTATTGTGAGCCTTAAAGGAGAAAGGCACGAGTTGCTCTCTTTGAGACTCGTACAGCGTCTTTTTTGAGAGAACTGCTTCTTGTAATGTACCAATACCCTTCATTCTTTCCGGCGGAATGCTTTTGCTAACGAAGGGTTTGCTTAACGTGAACCGTAAAGCACATGTGCTGAATGCCTTGCTTTGCAAAAGCGTGAGTGATGTAAAAGGCCAAGTGTAGGGTGCCATTGCGGGAAGCTCCAGCAAAGATCTCCGTGAGAATATACTTAATTTTAGATTCAATCCAAAGTCGGGAGAACCTAGTGAGAGTTCCTTTCAAAAAGACTCCTCCCCTCCCCTACCCGCACCCCTCAGACTTCCCCACATGAGAGGTGCTGAGCAGTTAGCTGCATGCAGCAGCATCCAAAAAGTATTCCGATGGTTTCCAGGTAGTTGGGCATACCATCCAGCCCGAACCCACAAAACACTGTCCACTTGTATCAAGCCAATTTTACTCCGCAACTGATCGCATATTAGAACAGACCAACGACCTGTTAAATATTTAAGTTTTCCTGTAAAATGATTAAAAGAGTAGACAGTGCTTTAATGAAAGAGCCAGATAGAGTCCTCATGAAGGCGGCTTAGCAGCACAGTGAGAGAAGATGGTTTTGACCGTGCATCCCATCTTACGAGCTCTGCAGCTAATACTCTCAAAGCGCTCAGTTGAACCTTGAGCCAATAGGCAACAGAATGGGATCAATATCAAAAAAGGAACTAGTGGCTGGCTAGATAATAATGAACTGCCTGCAAGCTGCCCGCCTGCTGGTCGTCCAATGCATCATATGGAGCTAATCCCCAAGTTAGTTCCAAGCTATGTTCCGCGATGTCAGAAGCTCCCCAAAACATGAAGAGAAGACTGAGCAGCAGGCTAGTGGCTATTTGAGAACTTGACAGGTGCACAAGCTGGTCAGCACTTCGGGGCATAACCCGGTGTTTCCACTGAGAATGACGGAAGGTGGCCCATGTGCATGATAAATTAGCCACTGAACACGAGGAATGTAAAGTACAAGTCCCCAAGGCCTCATATTTTCAAACTAACATACTACACAGATCAACAATCTAGTCGGCATTTGGCTCCACAGATGCCTTTATACAAACCTTTGTTCACCGCTCCGACTCGCACGAAACAGCCTTACACACAGCTCACAAGTTCGCATGTACCCGTGTGACGTTTCGACTAATTAATGCCCCAGACAGTCTACTACAGCATGCTATGTAGAATTTAAAAAGTGTGGTTAAGAGGGATGGACAGCCATGTACATGGAGGGCTGGAGTCTTCAGCCGAAACGCTCAAGAGCATCTACAGCACCAAAGCCTGTGCTTTAGCTGTGGCGAGGCCAGCAGTGATATGCGAAGCACACAAGTATTTGCTTTTAGTGCGAACAGCTGTGAATTGAGGATTTCGTGCTTTGGCTGCACGGATGGAGAGATTTGGCATAAAACGAAGTTAAGGCGTGACCTTTACCTTCATGCACACGCAAGGGTGTTAAGAAGTTCTACGTGAGCCTGCATCAGATCAACCAAATTAAGTTTTCGGACCTTACTCCGATCGCTGCTCTCTCAAATGCTCCACTTAAGAAAACACAGTCTGTGATTCGGACAGAGGAGGCTGGTAACACAGCAAGGATGCCTATCGACGTTCTTCGAGCTTCTCTGTCGTTTGCTCAGCTTGACTGTGCGCTTTAGCTTTTCCTGGCAACCGATGATCTGGACGAAGCGGTGGGAGCAGTTCTTTCCCAACAAGCAACGGGATCTTCGATACACCGGCAAATTGTTTTTACTCCTTATCGCTTCACAGAAACCGGGTAGCAGTACCAATTGCGGTAAGAAAAAGTCTATGCGGTGTGATGGGGCGTGACAAATACTGGGACTATTGAATTGGGCATCATTTTACTGTCCAGGCCGGCCACCAGTCTCTAATGCACTTTATAGAGACTGCTCATAGGTCTTCTGATTCAAGAGCTGTTCACTGAGTTCGCTGCCTCGTGCAGTAGGACTTCACAGTGAAATATATCGAGGGTGTCACCCACGTGATCGCCGGCGCACGCTTGCGACTTCCTGGCAATTCACTATTGCGCACCACAGCCGCTTTTGTCTGTGTGGGAATTTGGCTTTTATAAGAACTCTGTAGCTGTTATGCGTTGACACCCACGAAACGCTATGACCGTCACAATCAAGCATGGCAAGAGGGTGAAGCACTACCGCGTTGAGGGCGGCGTGTTGTGGTACCAGTCAAAGCGAGGACTCCTCCACGGTTCTTCCCGACTTATCACTGCAGTAGTTTTTCATGCAAAGCAGATGGCCATGGGTTTCCGGGTCATCACACGACAGTGGAAAAACACTCACGGTGCTTCCGGTAGTCTGGGACGCGTCCCGGTAGACATGCATGAACGGTCATACCCAGAGTTCTAGCAGTTGCAGAGGCACGTTTCTCCTGACTCCAGTCGTTAGCAAAGCCTTCGGGTTCCTGGATAGACTTGGACAGATCTGACAACGGACTTTATTGTTGGACTGTCGGCGGTCAAGGGATAGCTCAGCATCTACGTCGTTACTGACAGACCCAGCAAATATGCTCACTCCATTCCTTGCTTCAGCTCTAGCGCGACCCCAAAATTCACTCAACTACTTTCGTATTACAAATGCAAGCTACTCCTATTTGCCTAAAGTATCACTACAAATAGGGACCCGAAGTTCGTTAGTGCGTATTGGCGTGCCTTGAGAACCCGCCTGCACATTGACCACAAGACCACTGCGAACCATACTAAGACAAGGAGGCAGATAGCGCGCACCAACTACACTGTTCTACAGTATTGTGACGTCATGCTCACAAAAGTGCAATTGACTGGCTAGGCGTTCCCCCTCGTGCTGAACCGGCCTCTAATACAACAGTACAATCGGCTACCCATTGCTCTACCGCATCAGCTGTCTATTTTGATAAGCCGCGCTCCCGTCGGGGCCTGGACTTGGTGGTCCGATTCGGCAACCACTTTTAACAGCCAAGGAATTAAGACGACCACTAGCCAGTGCACGCGACCGTAAGCGCACCGCACAAAATAGACAGCATGCAACTGTGATGAGCGGCAGTCGGCTATGTGTTTCGAACCTGGGGATTGGGTTTTGGTGGTTCAGTCGGCTGTACATAGCACACCAGAAGGTGAGCAGATAACGCGCTTTGTGGCAAGGTGACTAGGACCAATTGCCATCCTCTCACAACTCAGCACTCTTTCTCACTCTGTCAGTTTTCCTTGCAAGTCTTAGTCTCCACTAAACTATCAATAGTGGCTTTTGAAAAAGTTTCAAAACTTCCCTAATTAATCAAGAAATTTGCTGCGTAAGCAAATGACGTGTGTGAAGGCGGAGGATTCGCGTGGGGCTGTAGAAGTATTG